TATTATCGATCGCAAACCTCGTGCTCCTGTTTTTCTTTCCATTGCTAAAGAAGCAATTGCATCCAATGCGTGCAGATCGAACGTTAACTCTACCTATAGAATATAAAATCATTATACTTCATTATAATATAATTTTCATATTAAAAAATGCAATGTAAAGACATTTATTTTAACGCCGTTGCAAAAGTACAATAATTAAATATACTTTGTCCATCGAGAATAACATCTGATATTGAGGAATAATAGCATTTTTTGGTTCAATAAGAATTCTTGCTAGCACAGTTTTGTTGAGGGATTGGAAAGGCACTAGTACAGGGAATCTATCAATAAATTCAGGTATCATGCCAAAATCTATAAGATCTCTAGCCTCCACTTGTTGCAACATGTTTTCTTTGTTATCTTTCTCGGAAAGCGACATATTGGCAAGATCAGCTAAAAATGCAGTGCTGTTGTCCGCAGTTATCTTGTTGAGTTTATAATATTCCTCTAATTTACGATGTGCTATCAACTTGCCCAAACCACTGTAAGCACCTGATGCGATGAAGAGAATATTTGTAGTGTCCACTTGTATTAGCCTATTTGCTTTTTTCGTCATTGTCTCTGATATATTTGCAATTGTTCCTTCCAATATCTTCAACATTTCTTGCTGCACACCCTTTCCAGCCACATCATGGTAGTTTCCACAGGTACTTGCTATTTTATCGACTTCATCTAGAAAGATGATGCCTATTTCAGCATGATCCACTTTATTGTTTGCATTCTGAAGGAGTTTAGTTATGGTAGTATCTATATCCTCGCCACGATAGCCGCTTTGAGTAAGAGTTGTACAATCACAAATCACAAATGGAACATCAAGACACTGCGCTATTGTTTGTGCAAGTAACGTTTTACCAGATCCTGTAGGACCAAGCAATAATATGTTGCTTTTTTCTAATTTCAGTTGATGTTGCTCATTGTCTAATATAGTTGATCCAATGGCCGATCTGCTTATCTTCTGTGAACCTCTTGGTGAATTGGCTACTTGCTGATACTCTGGAAATGGAATTCCAACACTTAATATAGCAGTATGAAACCAGCAGTATGAAAAGAATCGATAATCATATAATAAATTATTTTTTATAATAGATTGTAAAAAATACTTTTAAATTGCAAACTGTTTTAAATTTTAAATTGTTTTGAAGTTGTATTGATTTTACATTTAATAAATTCTGGTTATATATAGATAATATATACAAACTGTATATTTAAATTTTTTTTAACACTTTCATAACTTTAGAGTACTTTACAGTACTGTTTACATCACTTATCATCTGTGTCAATGTAATCAATATTGACCAAATTAACATTAGTTTGCATTTGTAAATTTTGAACTGACAAATTATTGCCAATTCGTTTATAGTGATTGTAAACGGCAATACTTAGCACTTTTTTCGCATATTCCTGACCCACAACTGTCTGTCTAAATATTCAAATATCTGAAAATATCATTTTGCATCACTACTACATTTTTTCTTGTTTAAGCTAGAGCATAGCATGCACTTGGATTTTTACTTAGAAAAAGGCCTATCTATATAATTAAATTAAATGATCAGAATTAAAATCAATTACCTTTTTTGGAGATGGAAGTGATGTCATATAACATTTTTATTTACTATCTTTTAATTTATACTCAGACATTGTTTACGACACACAGTATTACAGCAGGAACTTGTTACCTGAGAACTTCGTGCAGGATATAGAAACTGTTAGATTCCAATAGGAAAAATATTTATTTAAGGAAATACACTATTTAGCTCATATAAATAATGATTATTAATATATTTGATGCGAGTATGACGATAAAAGAGTGATTGATTCTGCACGAAAGAAAACAAAAACTGAATTATTTTACCTTTAGAAAATGTCACCGATACGAAAGTTAAGACAATGGAAGAGCGCATCTCTCTCGCGGAAAAAAACAAAAGATTGTAGCAGTAGATAATCGAGCGATATTATAACAAGCACAAGAATAAATTTAACAAATGCAGTCTTTCTGTTTCGATGTGTAACCAGTTCTTCGAAATTTATTTATTATATCTTCATAGTACACTAATATTGACTGGATGTAGCAATGTATCCAGATCAATTAGTACTCCATGATAATTTCAACGAAAAGAAAATTTGTTTTCTACAACGAATTTGAGACTACTCTTTTACAATTTACAATGCATATGTACTGTGCGTAACAAAACATGACAAAGTGATTTTTGACAGAATAGAGTATGATGCGGATGCTGAAAGCTAAACTGATGAAACTATAGAAATCTATTACTATAACAAAAGTGTAAAGAAAATTTATAATAAAATATGATAAAATATACAAAATTATTTATTTTTCTTATTAATTATTGTACAAGACAAAGAACTAAATTTATAAGGAAGATAATTTCCAAGCATAGTCTTTAACAATGTTAGTAAATTAAGATTTCGCAGATTATACTTCAAAATTTATATTTTCTACTGTAAGTTTTACGACTGATGTGAATTGATGTGAAATAAGAAAATTTGCGTATTATAAAAAATTTTTAGAAAACGTATCAAATTTATGAAGTATGAATAATATTTATGGAATCATCATTATATGAAATATATAGTTATGTAACTTACATGGCTTTATTAAATTATATCAAAATATATGTTAAATTGTTTATGAGGTAAATAAATCAAAATATATATTGCATAGAGATTTATTATAAATTCATTTATATAATATATATAGAGGACATCAGATCACTATAAAATGAAGATTCAGGAAAAAAAGTTCTATGCAAACGTCTTCACTTTATTATATTCTGCACAGCCTATTTTTTTCTTTTGCATAATTTTAACCGGTAATTTAATTGTAATTAGTGAGAATTAATAAAGATGTATATAGATACATAATAATTAGATAGTTGTAGTCGCACATTATATTCATCTTCCTTTTCACTAATCTATTATACTATGTACAATATATTATACACAACAGTTGTACACTTATATATCGACATAAAAATAATTTTTTTCATATTATTCCTCATTTTCTTTATTTTCTCTTGTAAGTGATCTCCTATTATATCAAAAAAACAAGCGCTGGTATTTGTTAACCTATTGGGTTACAAGAACGTTCTTTTTCTTAATTTTTTTCAAACAACGCGTAACAATAGTACTTTTTTTTACAAATAATCTTGACATAACAATATATAACACAAAAAAAGTTTATTTTGTGAATAGTTGCATTAAAATTCTTTTTATTATTATCTATATTAATGGCTTTTTACAATTTCATATTGTAATCAATTAGAATGTATTGTTTCATTATATATATTTCTATGTCTTAAACCAGTTCATTTAATCAATTATATCATAATGGGAGTTCCTTTCCCATCGTGTCAAATATATGTATAATATTTGAGTTCAAATTTTGAATTCAAAATTAAATTTGAACGCCATGATTGAATGTGTATATATACTTTAATTATCTTTTTATATTTTATTATTAGATATAAATGCTCTTTTTATCAATGTTACCATCAGTAAATGCATGTAGGATGCAAAACTTGATTGGCTGTAGAATGCTATGTGTGGTTTTTTAACTTTTCCTGCAATATGAATCAAATACAAAAATTTATTTAAATTTATTTCCTATTATTGATTTAGAACTGTATTTTCTTATTATTGATATTTTCTACTCATGCGACACTTTTTTTTTTAGTAAAAGCATGTTTCAAGTAAATCAAATGTCAAGAATATGATTTATAATTTGCAATATTATTTTTATTATCAAATCATATTAAATGTATCAGCATTTATATCTATATTACTTTATTACTCTGCAATAAATATGTGATTTCCATAAATAATTCAAAAATTTATGTGACAAAAAAATTTGTAGTGTGTGTATGTACACATACACTACAGAATTATATATCTTTATATATATATATATATATATCCTTTTTTTTACAAATAATCAAATAATATATATATATATGTCACGTTATTAATTTTACATATATAAAATTAATGATGTAGCAAATATGTTCAATATAATACATAAATGGATAAAAGTTATAGCAAAATAAAAATAATAGATACTGATGAAATATATAGGACAGTTTGAAAAGGCAATGTATATGCGTTGTTTTCGTATTTTTAATCTATAAAATAACTATATATATAGGAAAACATTGTTTACAAAATAATTAAAATAGCGATTTACGCGAATTTAATTTAATTTTTGTCTAAAAACATCTATCGATAAACAAAGAATTATACCAAAGTGTCGCATTCTTTAATTATTTGTTAATTATGTACATGCTGCGCCTGTTGAATGTCATCCTCGTTGCTATCATCTCGTTTCACATATTGAGGCTTTTCGATGCCTTTCACACACGGTTCTGTGATGTGAACGGACACTATATCGCTGCCTGGTACTTCAAACATAGGTTCTAAAAGCAGTGATTCCATTATCGATCGCAAACCCCGTGCTCCTGTTTTTCTTTCCATTGCCAAAGAGGCAATTGCATCCAATGCGGGCATATCGAACGTTAGCTCTACCTATATAAAATCATACAATAATTCATTACAATATAATTTTCATATTAAGAAATAGAGAGATATTTATTTTGACACTGTTGCAAAAATATAATAATTAAACTGTACCTTGTCCATCGAGAATAACATCTGATACTGAGGAATGATGGCATTTTTTGGTTCGGTAAGAATTCTCGCTAGCATAGCCTTATCGAGAGTATGAAAAGGCACTAATACTGGGAATCTGCCAACAAATTCAGGTATCATGCCAAAATCTATGAGATCTCTAGCTTCCACTTGTTGCAACAACATATCTTTTTCTTTGTTATCTCTTTCGGTGGAAGGTGACATATTGGCGACATCAGCTAAAGTCGCCGCCCTTCTACCCAAGCTCTCTGTTGCGGGCGTTGCGCCAAATCCGAGATATTTTTCCGATTTGCGTCGCGCTATCAATCTATCCAAACCGCTATAAGCGCCCGATGCGACAAAAAGGATGTTCGTAGTGTCCACTTGCAATGTTTCTCCGCGCAACTTTCTCGAGCTATTTCTTTCCGGTACATTCACAATTGTTCCTTCCAACATCTTGAGCATTCCTTGCTGTACACCTTCTCCGCCCACATCACGTAATTGATGGATTCCAGGGATAGCTCCTATCTTATCGACTTCGTCCAAGAAGACAATCCCCATCTGAGCACGATCCACTACATAGTTGGCATCCTGAAGGAGTTTAGCTATGACACTCTCAATGTCCTCGCCAACATAGCCGGCTTGCGTAAGAGTGGTGCAATCACAGATAGCAAACGGAACATCCAGACATTGCGCTATCGTTTGTGCGAGCAATGTTTTGCCAGAGCCCGTAGGACCGAGTAATAATATGTTGCTCTTTTCTAACTTTAGCTGATGCTGTTTGCTGTCTAATATAGCTGATCCAGGAGTTGATTGACTTGCTTTCTGTTCGCCTGTATTGACCGGATATTGAAAACTGACTCCTGGAAATGGATTTCCAATGCCTGATATATGCAGTAAATCTGAAAAAAAAAAATTGTTTTATGATAATCGTATGTATTAATGTATTTTTATGAGGGAGCAGATTATAGAAATAACTTTAAATTGTAATCTGCTTCAACCAAATTACATTAATTTTACATATGATTTCTTATTATAAATTATTATAAATAACAATTTCATCTGTGTATGATATATATATATATATATATATATATATAAAATATACATATACAAATTGTATGATACTCTCTTTATCTTTTAATATTTCATAATAATGGGACATTGCTAGTTACGTGGTTTAGGACCTCCATGATGAGTGAAGGAATGAGTCTCCTGTGTGACTGGATTAACATTAGTTTGCGTTTGCGAATTTTGAACTGGTAAATTATTATAAATCCGTTTGTAGTGGTTGTAAACAGCAACACTCAGCACCTTTTTCGCATATTCCTGACCCACAACATGTTTGTTTAAATACTCGAATATCTGAAAGTATCGTTTTGCATCACTGCCACTTTCTTGTCCTAAAGTTGAAGCAGACATATTCAACGTACCTGATCTTATTTAGAGAAAAAGGTCTGTTCATATAATTAAATTAAATATGTTAAATCAATTACCTTTTTTGGAGGTGGAGGTGGCTTTCTATAGAAGCCTTGCTTACTGTCTTCTGGTCTAAGTGCCTCTTTCAAACTTCTTTTTGAATCGATTTCTGACAGCACAACGAAGAAGTGGTGGCACTTTTCACATTTGACGAATCTTGTGGATGCTGTATTATTTGTAAAAATGGTAGATGCTATATTAGAATTTAACATTAGTATTTAAAGATAGATTGTATTATAAATTCAGATGTAAGAATTTGTGGCAACTATGACAAGTTAAACATTCATCTTCAAATCGTATCTGTTCAGTGATATCTTACTTACAGACAAATGTTTCAACATGGGTACAGGGATCTCCACACTTTGGACAAGTAAGCGTATTCTTCTTTCCACCACCAGTACCATTGTTCGAAGATCCACTTGATGAAGTGGTATCTTTGGAAGGTGGTGTAGGTTCTGTTGGAGCTTTATTCAAGATACCACTAATCGTCAGAGTTCTACTGGCCACGACGACTCTTACAATTTTATGTACTGTATAATTGCAAAAAATGATCTCTAATTAAATCATCACCTTTGTATTTGACAATTTTAACTATATCATTATTTATTCAAGATAGAACCATATATAAGATCTGTTGATAAACAAAACTCACCATGGCTGGTAACATGATTAGAAGAGGCTAAGCGACCCGCACTGATTAGGCAGCAACGCACGCAACTCATGGTCAATGGTGGATCTCGGTAGAATTGAAAGACGTGGGGATGACAGGGCCTAGATTATCTATTCCGCGGATTCGGATCTAAAATCAGAGAGGTATTCCTTTGCATATAACCATATTGCTGAATTCGAACCAACAGTTAATGGCTGCGCTCGGACGTTTGCGAAATAACATCGAACGACGGTGCAGTTACGTTGTTTATCGCGTGTCAAATGAAGAAGATCTATGCGACGCGCTTAGTCGATTTCACTTTTTCTCCCTCGAGACGTCTTCCAGTCCTTTTTAAAAGATACACTGCGATTTCGGCGCAGATTGCCGTGAACCAGATTATCGTGGAAAATCCGCGGAATTCTGAACGGGTGGCGCGTCTCGAGCGGGGGTGACCTACGTGACAGCCGAAATCTGCGACATCGCACACAACATTGGCATCGCGCGACACGCGCAACGATGATAACATGAAGAAAAACAGTCATATATCGATATTGAGAGAGGGAGAAGAGGGGTGAAAGAGAGAAAGAGCGAGAGAAAGACATAAAGAACGAGAAATACACAGAGAAACGGGAAAGATAATATCCGTATGCACTCAGTCGCGATCTTACCCGATTTGGTGACGATAAGGAAACGCGACGTCAACAAACATCAATGCCGCGGACGCGCAACGCGGCCAACGGCACGGCAACTCGAAAAAACATACGTGGGCGCTCCGAAAGTTTCTTTGACGATTCCGCGCCCTCTCACGCGATTTCCTGGACTCAATTTCGCGAGCGCGAACGCGAACGCGACGAACGCGTGCCCATCTGCCCACATGTGCCCAAGACCTTCTTTGTGTCAATTCTCAGTAGAAGAATTCGTCTTGGTCTATGGTAATTTTTCAATTTTCCTATTTAATTCGTTCAAAGATAAATTTTCCCTTTCATTTCTTACTCGTAAATTAGTTTTCTATCTGAAAATAGCATCGCGTTTTCTTCTAAGCTAGTGTTTATAAGAAACATAGGTCCTTTGTAACCTTGTCATATTTTCTACATTTAAAATCAACATCTATAATTAGATACTGGAAGAAAAAAAAGAAAAAAAAATGGAAAGTATAAAAGATTCTTGCCAGAAAAAAAAAAGAAAAATTTCGATCATCGATATTTGTGAACTTTAGATGGAGGATTCCACGGCACGGAATGTATAACTACAA